ACCCCGCTGACCACTAACCCCCTGACCACCAGCCTCACTGACCACCATCCCCGCTGACCACCAGCCCCCCTGATCACCAGCCTCACTGACCACCAGCCCCCCTGGCCACCAGCCCCACTGCTTAGTCACACTCTCTCCCTGACTGGATGGTGGGTGAATGCTGGTTAAATGGAGTGGACACCTGAGTCCAGCTGACCCAGTGACTCTCAGCATAGGCCTGGGAGTCTGGTGCCTCCAGGCTGTGGGTGCTGGACCACCAATGGGGTGCAGTCTGCAGAGTGAAAACTGACTGGGGCGCCTGCCTAGAGCCTATGCTTGCTGAGATACAAGTAGAAGAGAGCCGTGTACAAAGCACTGGAAGGAGATATGGAGCCAGAAAGACACACATCCACACCACACAAACACAGCACACACATCACACATGCTCACCACACCACCCACAAACACAGCACAGACTTCACACACACTATACCACACAAACACAGCACACACACCACACATCCTCACCACACCACCCACACACCACACAAACACACAACATTCTCCACATCACACACAAATACCACACACTACAGACACACACCAACATAAACCCACACCACCTCCCACACGCTACACATTCCGCACTCTTCATCTGGTCTAATAAACACACACTACACACACCAAGGGAGCTCTGGGGGCTGAGTGTAAGAAAATGCACTGAATCCCACAGGCACAGAGTTCAAATCCACCAGTTGCTCCATGGGGAGTCTCCTCCCATGTGATTTGCTGCCTCTGAAAACCTGCTGGAGTCAGCTGTGGACTGATTCTGACTCGATGGTACGACACTACTACATACCAAACACACACCTGCCCTTCCACGCCACACACATAAACATACAACACTTCACACACATCACACCGTCACTCGGTCTGCCGAGGCCCTGGATGCCTTCCCAGCTCCAGTGTCCAGCACCAACACCCCCTGCACTTGGGAGTGTGTCCTCACCCAGTCCACCCCTGCAAAAGGCTGGACAGGCTGCCCCAGCTTCACGGCCCTGAGCCCTGATCTTTTCTTGAGTGAAGTTTACAAATCCTATTGACTTTCCATGGAATCATTCACACATTTCACAGCTTGAGCCCAGGTTCTCACCATGCCCTTCTTTGGGTCTCTGCTGCCAGGACAGCATTAGATTTTGTTTATTTCTTCTGGTTGGTTCCAGTGATCTTTCCTTGGAATATCTTCTGCACACCCTTTGCCTGGTTTTCCTTATAAGCTGTTCTTCAAACCAGGTGTTGATGCTGAATCCCCAGCACCCAGCCGGAGCACAGTAGGCCCTCAGAGAGGACTGACAAGAGCCCCAGGCTGATAACAAGAGGCTTTACGGGAACATCTCACCAACTTCCTGGAGGCAAAAGCCTATCACAGGTGAGGCCGATGCTGCCCTGGCAGCAGAGACCCAAAGAAGGGCCACCCCGAGTAAGGGCCCACCCCAGGTAAGGGCCCACCCCGAGTAAGGGCCCACCCCGAGTAAGGGTCCACCCCGAAGTAAGGGCCCACCCCGAGTAAGGGCCCACCCCGAGTAAGGGCCCACCCCGGGTAAGGGCCCACCCCAGGTAAGGGCCACCCCAGGTAAGGGCCCACCCCGAGTAAGGGCCCACCCCAGGTAAGGGCCACCCCGAGTAAGGGCCCACCCCGAAGTAAGGGCCCACCCCGAAGTAAGGGTCCACCCCGAGTAAGGGCCCACCCCAGGTAAGGGCCCACCCCGAGTAAGGGCCCACCCCAGGTAAGGGCCCACCCCAGGTAAGCCAGCTGCAGTTTCCTTCTGGGGCTGGTGGGGTAATGGAGCCCAGAGACTGTTAGGTGTTTAGTGCAGGCCACACACAATATACTATATCATACCACATGACACCATACCACACCACACACTACACATCATATGCTACACACACACACTTCCCCAAAGCCTCCACACAACTTATACTCCAAGATATCCCATGACACATGCATCATATGCTCACATACACCACACACACTTCATGCACACACCACACACTCTACACAGTACATACCACACACTCAGAAGACCACACACCATACACACAGTCCCCACAAACACTACTCATACAACACCACACACCACACACAACACAAACACTAAACTCATACAACATCACACACAACACAGTCCTCACAAACACTACACACATACAACACCACACACAACACACAAAATAAACTCATACAACATCACACACAACACAGTCTCCACAAACACTACACTCATACAACACCACACACAACACAAACACTAAACTCATACAACATCACACACACACAACACAGTCTCCACAAACACTACACTCATGAAATACCACACACAAGCACTACACTCATGAAACACCACACAACACACAGTCCCCACAAACTCTACTCATACAATACCATACAGTCCACACAAACACTACACTCATACAACACCACACACAACACCCACAAACACTACACTCATATATCACACACAAACAACAGTTCCCACAAACACTACACTCATAAAACACCACACACAACATACAGTCCACACAAACACTACACTCATATCTCACACACAACACAAACACTACACTCATATTATAACACCTCACGCATAACACACCCTACACACCAATTACCACACCACACACTCCACATACATACCACATCCTCTCATATCACATACATTACACCACACACAGTTCATGCAAACACTACACCCACACCACACTACATACAGCACGCCTCCCCCAGCCACACACAGCCCATACCTGTCTGTGGTTTGCTTCCCTGCACCAGGGCCTGCGTGTGGGCTGACTGTACAAGCCTTAAGCTTTGAAGGACCTCACCTCGCTTTATGCTCTGCTGTTGTCCTTCTGACATTTGTAACACTTTTGGAGCAAGGACACCGAATTTGAAGTTTGCACTTGTTGCTGTTGTTAGGTGGCCCTGAGTCAAGTCCGACTCGTAGCGGCCCTATGAACAGCCGACCGGAAACCCTGTCTGTCCTGTGCCGTCCTCATCATCTCTGACACACTGGAGCCCTTTGCTGTGGTCACCATGTCAATCCATCTTGTTGGGGGTCTTCCTCTCCTCTGCTGACCCTGTCTTTCCAAGCATGATGTCCCTTTCCAAGAACAGCCTTGCCCGGCATACGAAAGACAAAGCAGCATCTTTGTCTCCAAGGAGCACTCTGGCTGCATCTTTTCCAAGACCTAGCTGTTCGATCTTTTGGCATTCCCTGGGACATCAAGTGCTTTTCTCCAACACAACAACTCAAAGGCATCAGTTATCCTTCTGACATCATTAATCACTGTCTAGCTCTCAGATGCATCATAGGTGACCGAGAAGACCACGACCTGAATCACTGGGCCCTGCAAATCATGTAGCAGATCCTGCAACGTTTCTCGTGAGTGGAAGTTTCTAGCAAGAGAGGCTAAAGGAATCCACGCAAACACAGACACATACATATGAGCAAACACACACACACACACACACACCCTTGTGCCCTGCAGGCCCTGCTCCCCACACCCCCTCATGCCCCACAGGCCCTGCTTCCCCCCTCCATACTCCACAGGCCCCGCTCCCAGGCCTCATCCCAAGCCTGGTTTGACCACTCCTTCAGTGGTGACACTTACACAGCATCTTTGTCACCTGCCTCCGGTTCCTGTCCGGCAGCTGCTGCCTGAGCCTGTGGGTGTCGCTGGACCTGGCCACGACGTCCTTGACCCGGGCCTCCTGGTGGGGCGGTAGCCTCTCACGCCACAGCTGCAGCCCGATGAGGAGGTAAAGCACGCTGATGGTGGCCATGGGCAGGCCGAAGAAGAGCAGGGCGGTGGTCTGCACCACCAGGTTGTACAGGGCCTGGGGCTGGACCAGCGTGCAGATGGCCGAGTCGGGGACCAGGCCGCGGCAGGGCACATCCAGGTGCTTGATGCCATGCATGCTGGTGTTGGGCAGAGAGCAGAGCACGGCCAGGCCCCAGACGGCCCCCAGCACTTGGCGCACGTGTGCGTGTGTCACCACTGACCTGGCCTGCAGCGGGTGCACCACGGCCACGTAGCGCTCCACGCTCACGGCGGTGACGTTGAGCACCGAGGCCAGGCACACCGTCTCAAAGAGCAGTGTGCGGAAGTAGCAGCCGCCAGGGCCCAGCAGGAAGGGGTAGTTACGCCACATCTCATAGAGTTCCAGGGGCAGCCCCACCAGCAGCACCAGCAGGTCTGACACGGCCAGGCTGAGGAGGTAGTAGTTGGTGGGCGTGCGCATGGCCTTGTGGCCGAGGATGACCATGCAGGTCAGTGTGTTGCCCACAGTGCCCACCATGAATATCAGCAGGTAGGTGGCACAGATGGGCACGAACAGCTTTGTCTGCTGGGGCCCCAAGTACTTGAATCTCAGCATCTCATCGGTCAAGTTCAGGTCCTCCGGTTCGAAGGGCTCCCAGGTCCTACTGACATTGCAGGGAACAGGGCTGCGTGCACCTGCTGTGGGCAGATCTGCATCGAGGATGGAGTAATTGAAGCACGAAGTGTCCTGTGGACAGGAAGGAGAAACAAGCAGAAATCTCACATGCTGGACCTGCTGTCACAGTCTGTCCAACTCAGGGGGCCATCAGACGGTCATTATCTTAGGGAATGTAAGAACAAAAACACTACCATTTGTTAGTCATTTCAGAGACATAAAACTGTCCATCCTGGTGTGAGGAGAAACGTGTAGATCTGGTGCAAGAAATCACAATTATATGGCCTTTCTGGCCACCCAGTCTTCAAACTTTCACAAAGGAGTGGGTGGGGTTATGCAGATAAGGTGCTTGCGACCCACCAAAGGGATTGGTCAGCTTGCTCCTAATACAAATAAGGTGCATGGCACCCTTGTGGGGAGTGAGGCTGTGAAAACTGATTGTTTTTGTTATCCTACTAGGTATTGGGAAAGTCTGCTATCAGAGACCTCCCCAAAGTACTGAAGAGCAATGAAGTCAGTCTGGAGATTAAGGTGTGCCTGATGCAGACCATAATCTTTGCAATTACTTGTTATGCACTGGAAAGCTGGACAATGACTAGGGATGATAGGAGAATTGATGCCTTTAAGTGTGGTGCTAGAGAAGTGTACTGAATATATAGTGGACTGCTAGGAGAACAAACAAGTTCTTCCTAGAGCGGTTGAGATCAGGCTGTTCCTTGGAGGCAAGGATTCTGAAGCTTTGTCTGACATACTTTAGACATGTTGCAAGGTGGGATCAGTCCTTGGAGAGGGAGGTCATGCTTGGGAGGGTGGGGGGACAGCTCAGGAAAGGAAGACCCTCGATGAGATGGATTGATTCAGTCACTGGGGTAATGGGGGTAGGTGTGTCAGAGACAATAAGATTGACACAGGACAGAGCAGGGTTTAGGGGTGTCGCACATAGGGTCACTAGGAGTCACAGATGACTTGATGGCACAGAACAACAACAACAACAACAACTAGACTTAAAATGAGCCATCTCAGTAAACTCTGGTGGCCTAGTGGCAAGTAGCTGCACTGCAATCCTGAAGGTGCACAGTTCGAATCCACCAGATGCTCTACTGGAAAAGGAGAAGTAATCTCCTCGTGTGCCAGTTGGATCTGATTCAATGGTACACAACAAGGAAACAAAAATTAAGAGGAGGAAAAAAGAAAAAAGAGTTGCAAAAATAAAGAAGGGGGAGGAAGAGCCATCTTTGGAGGAAGAATATGGCAGTCTGTCCCTCTGTCGTCGTCCCCCCCCCATCACTTCCTGAGAAACTTGATCACACCTAAGCCGGTCATATCAAAGACCAGACCAGACAATGGATCCTAATAAGGGGCTGAGCCTGATCAAAACAGCCCAAACCTAACTTAATTAACACCCCAAATTCTGAGAAATACCATCTTAGTCCTCCCCAGGACCTCTATAAGAAGGAACCCTCCCCCAAATTGCCCTCACACCGTTTTGATCCTCCCTGCATGCTGCCCGGCCGGGTCACCTGGGGTCCCTCTCAGACCACACAATAAAGTCCTGTTTGTTTCTTGGGACCAGTTTCTTTCTTTCTCTCCCTCGTGCTCTTATTTTTCTATCTAACAATCCCAGTGACAGAAAAGAACACCCCACTACCACCAAGAAAGAAGAGCTGGAAGCAGAGCTTTGGACTCAGGGTCCTGGTACCAAGACCCTCCTGGAATCAGGAGATGGAAAGCTGTCATACTGCAGATGATACAAGACGGGCAGCAGTGGCAGCAGGCACAGCAGAGAACTGGCACCAGCAGAACCAGAAGGATGACGGGAGACAGTACAGGGGCTTCCCTGCCCGTGAAACAAGGGAGCCGAGTACCTTTGGGCAGGAGGCTTGCAGGTGGAGTGGGGCACCCCGGGGTACTTGAAGTCAGGCTCTCGAACCTACGAAGTGTGAGAGAGCTGAGCGTCTCCCAGCAGAAGGGGTGGCTCTGGTACTTACCAGTGACGCGAAAGAGCTCTGTCACTCTTTACAGAGCTGAGCAAAGACCAGGTTGGCTCAAGAGGCCTGAGACCCGGAGGGGCCAAGGCTGAGGGGCAGGCAGAGGCTTGCCGAAGCGCACAGCTGAGAAGGTGTCCTGACCAAAGAACTGTATTTTGGGTTAGTCCTGATCTTGAATTGTGACCTGGGGCTTTCTTAATAAACCCTGTGTGGCCATTGCAATGAATGATCTAACCCAGCAAAGAGGCAGAGGGTGCCATGGGAGGGCAGCTGGCGTCAGGATTGGTCAAAAAGTTGGCAAGCGAGCTATTTCTGACCTCTGCCTCATAGGAATCGGCCTCAGGTTACTGCTGATGGTGATCCTCTCTCTGCCTCTCCTGATGTCAGAAGAGGTCAGGCGTCATTGTGGCATTTTTATGATAGAACAATGGAATATAATTGAGAGTCCAGAAATAAACCCATACACTTATGGACAACTGAACAACGTGCCAAGTCTATTCAATGGAAAAAGAATAGTCTCTTCAACAACTGGTGCTGGAACTGGACCTCCACATGCCAAAGAATGAGATGAATCTTCGCTATCACAGGAATGGATTAACGACCTAAACCCTACAAAACTCTTTGTAGAAAACATCATAAATTGTGCCCAAAAGGACAAATACTGTATAATCCCACTTGCGTGAAATCTCTGGGCCAGGCAAATGCACAGAACCAAAGGTTATTATTGCCCAGGGTTAAGAGAAGGGGAATTGGGAGGTATTCTAGACCTTCAAAAGCTTCTATTTTTTAATTAAAAAAAAAAAAAAAACCAAAAAAAAACAAAATAAAAAAAATAACTATCATTAAGTCAACCTCTTAGATTCAAGGGAAGAC